GAAAGGAGGATTGGTGAAATGTTGAATTAGTAGGGCACAAAAACTGGGTATTACCAAAGAAAATCTAAGACTGGAAGTGAGGCATATAAGAGAATCTCTGAAACCTAATAATTAGCCTGATAAATTAGTTAGAAAGTATTTAGGTAAGTGTAAAAATGAAATAGATAATGATGGTAGTGATAGTGATAGCAGGAATAATAATGATAATAATAATAGTAATAGTAATGACGACATGCATGTCAAACATGCGCAAGACAACACCAAGAATAAGGGATCTAAATCATCAGTAGTAATCCCATACAAAGAAGGAACCTCGGGAACCTTACGGAGAATTCTTAACAATGCAGGCAAGAATAAAAGTGGCTGGCATTCAAACTGCCCACAAACTCAATTAGAAACAAGCTTTGTCGGTTAAAGGATCAATCCTGTAGAGCCTTTAAAACAAAACAATTTAGTTCTTCTAATACCCTGCTTGAATGATTGTCAGGTCAAATACATAGGTCAAAGTAGTAGAACAGGCGCAGTCAGACTAGCTGAGCACAAAAACCTAGCAAAATCTACATTGGTTGACCCGAATAAGATAAAAAATCTAGAGAATAGTTCAGCTATAACACTCATTACATGCAATTACAGACAACCATACAATTGTATGGGATGGGATAAGATGACAGTTCTAAAATCTAATGAAACAGGGTGAATGGAGGGAGAGATTGATAACGGAAGCTTTGTTTATCGAATCAACTGCAAATACGCTTAATAGGAATGATTCAACACCTGTCTGAGATATCTGGAAAATTCTACTACCCCAACGACGACAAATAGGAGAGAACAAAGAGGACCATAAAACTCAAGTTTCGATGTTGTGTGGTTATAATTGGCGATATCATTATGAACAATAAGTAAATTGTGTTCGAAACGTCATCCAGTGATGAATAATACTGTTTCACTGTGCGATATATCCAATTAACAAATTAATATGGAATTACATACTACCACAGTGCCCAAGTCTTACACATATATTAAGAAGGGTGATTAGTTTTTCAACTTTGAGAAATCTACGTAAGGCCATTCAACCGCTTGTCAACAGAGGAAAGTGCCCTTCTAGGTTTCATAGCATACCGTTAAAAAAAAATAATACGGAAGTATAACTGAAATCGAGAAACACCATTTAGCGGGAATTACTCATGCTTCAGCCTGGTAAGTTCATCGAACTGACCCAATCGATTTCCATAAAATGAACCGAGTAACCCCTGCTAACTATGGTTTTGTAATATACAACCCAAGTACACCACAAGCAACCTTCCCCCCATTCGAGACAAGCAATACAATCATCTTGTGATTAGATGACCTCGATGTGTCTGGCAATTACTACTGATTGACATCAATACCTTTTGACGACTCAAACTGAACAGTAACATATACCACTATAAAATGAACAAAGTTTAAACTGACAAGAACACGAAGAACAATGAATCTATAATTAACACGAAGCTGACTTAATGCAAAATTTAGCATTACAACAATAGTCACTGGTTAGGCAGACCATTACAGTCATACAGGAGGTCAGATGGGAGTCTGTAGCTGTAGCACTGGACACTAAGGGTTCGAATCTCAGCAGAGACAACATTTCTTCCAAGATCACAGCTACCTACACCTTACTGACGAATGCCAGTAATCAGAAAACCCATTTTCAGAGCTTCCTGTCAACTGCCTTCAACTGTCTAACACTAAACAAAGTAATTATTGGCAAATTATTCTGTCAATAAATCTTCAAATGTATGCTAACTGCTCACTGAGCGGCAATTACTTCTGCTATCGAATCCCAAGGGCTTATGGATATGAAAATACAATATGGTCAAACAGCTCACTGACAACAAGATATCTCCAGCTAATCCATAGAAACCTTTGAAGTTTGCGCTGTGATGATTGATAGTCAACACTCAGAACTTCAACACTATACTAAGTTTAATTCTATTATCTGGTAGCTCGTCTGATCAGATCACAAAAAGGATTGATCTCGACCTGTCTAGCTAAATGACCTACAACCTCAGTGTTGAATAACACAAGAGATAAACAGTCTTTCGACAACCTGTGCTTACAAGTTCTGCATACTGTAAGGTCATGCCAAAATCTTAGAAAGACAACTTCACCTTTGAAATCACTGAATATGACCAACATGGATGCGTACAGAAAGCACAAACAGATACAAATGCCACACCTTTTTCCAACTATTATACTCAACAAAAATAACGAACATTAAATTGGGATTTTTGGAAGCATTTTAAGTCATTCCTTCAAGAAGTTCATATTCCAAGAGTAAGTGATGGATTCGATTCAATACTTGTTGGTTAGGATGCGACGTCCTTCAATTAATGAAGATAACGCCCTTGTGATGCACACATATCCAGCTTGGAGGTCTTGCATAAACTGTGACAGGCAGCTTTTTCTCCTCTAATGGTTATCACGTAAGCATTTTAGTAGCAGAAACTATCATATGTAAGAGTTAAACACTGTCCTATCATCTGACCAACCTACCAAAACATTCACTAAAACCTGTCACACTATAAAATAGTAATGTTAAAAGGTTAAATGTTGCAAAACTGTTAACCAGTAAGCCGAACAGCAGAAAGTATTGACTGACATAGATGTTGTGCTATCTGACACTTATCAAAACTTGCTTGCTACTAAGCTATTCAAGAAGGTCTACTGGTGCCTCTACTAAAAACGGGTTTAAGCATGACAATATGTATATACCACAGATTGATTGATATGAGTAAAGTGAACACCACTCACATAAACTAGTAGTACTTGCTGGTCAAATCGAAGTGGGGACAAGTTGATTTATTTCGTAGAACCGAATAAGTTCAGAGACCACCCGAATTCTATCTATAGTAGGACATGCGCAAGTGGTCCAGTGATAGAATGCTCGCCAAGCATACATATTGGTTAGGGTTCGATTCCAGGCCACAGCATTCATAATCCTCAACTGGCTGAAAGTAGACTTGAAAAATAAGATAGTTGGGAGCGAGGCTAGCAACCCCCCTCCACATCCCCACCCTTTAAAACAGCGGTATCATATCTGGAACTCTAAAGCTGGAACTTGAAGAGCTACCTATATTCCACGCGGAATGAAAAAAGGCATAGGAAGCAATTTCCAGACGGTAACCTATACTTAAACATGTATATTGCCCGGTAATATTCACATTAAACATACATTTATAGTTTTCAGCCACAGGGTTCGATCCCCATCGGAGATGGGGATGAAACAGCCAACCCATTTTAACCTAGTTCTTAATGATTCCCTAGCTAGTTTCAATCTGTTGGTCACGAAAAGGATTTCCAACAAGTTACAGACTTTTATCAACAGCTTTCGCCTTCGCTAGCTCCATACTGAAGATCGAATTGCTGGCTGGTCAGAAAGAATTAGCAACAAGAAACTCTGACGATGAACAAACCAACCAAGAGCCGATTGCTCAACACATATATGTAGGCGAAAATGGGGGTGGATCGGCCATACACTCCACCGTAAGAGGCCGTCGAATGACATCACGCTCAATGCATGCCATCATTCGAGTAGAATCCCAGTGGGAACAGACGAGCAGGTCGTCAGTGTGAGGGTGACATGGAGCAGATAAGAGATTATAGGCAATTGTGGACCCAATCAGCCGAAGAGGACAGCAGAAAAAAGAACGAAGTGAAGATGTGTTTTGAAGCCCCAAAGGAGTAATAAAAAAATAAAATGTGCCACTTTATAAAAGGTATGTAGATGATATTGTAATCATCAGTGATAAGTCTTGTTCTGTCACTTCAATTTTAAATCGAATGAATGAACTTCAGAATAGCATATCACTTACATCTGTAGAAGAGGAAGATAACTGTTTATGTTTCCTAGATATATTGCTTAGTCGACGGCTTGATGGGTCAATAAAAAGATCTATTTATAGAAAACCCACCTGGACAGGACAGTATCTTAATTACCACAGTTTCTGCCCTGTTCGGTACAAAAGAGTCTTAGTAAGGTACCTCTTCAGTAGAACCCAACGAATATGTACTGAAGACACACTTAATGAAGAAGAAAGAAAGTTGACACAAACTCTGGTTGATAACAATTATCCAGATAAGTTCATCAGGAGATATAAAGTAGTCAGAACACCAAGACCCACTCACTCTCCAACTCGCCCCTAAGAAAGACGTGTACATCAAGCTACCCTATATGATAACTAGACAAAGACTGAACGCTGCTGTTAAAAAAACTTTCTATGCAGCTAATATCATAATAACTGAGAATGTGAAGCCAATATATCTATCTAAGCCCTTCGAACATGGGAAAAATGACATCACATCCCACTGTATTTACCAATTTGAATGTACGTATGGACACACATACGTAGGGAGGACTCATCGATCTCTGCAAGTAAGGGCTGGCTTCAGAGCATATTCCTAAATGGCTTTAGGAGCAAACAGAATATCCAGGACCCATTAGTGGTGGGTACAGTTCACCTAGCTCCTCTATTGCGAAACATATTATAGAGACAGAACATAAAACTGACGTTAACAGATCTTTTAAACCTATCTATAATACGTGTTTGGGAAGTATCCTAAAGTTTGTGCAATCCCTAGCAATTAGAAAGTTTAAACCACCTCTATGCGTTCAAAAACAGTTCGAAATCACATTAAACCACCTTCCTTGGTAAATTTCGTTTTGATACCAGTCAGGGAAGATGTACTATTACCTCTGCTATTTGGTTTAGTGGTCTTCATTGTTATTTTGACCGTGAATATATCCTTTTAACTTGACCTAACTTGTCTATTTTATCACTCCTTAACTCTTTATTAATTTCTGATATATACATATTCCTATGACAAGTCCGTGTATGCGATCAGATTGTTCGAAATGTGTTGTGCAAATACAACATTACACGATTCTTATTGCTTTAAATAAAAATTTAAAGTAACCAAAAGAGGGAAAACAGAAATTTTAACTAACCAAACTAACTCACCATCAGAACTGGAATCCATGTACATTGAACAGAGTGATCAAGTAATTATTCTTTATAAATAATAATTATAAGAAAAGTTAATATTTGTGATAATGTGTAATCAAACGAAGACAAAAAATTGAATTCGTAGACTTGCTGACTGACTACTCAACAACATAAAAAATAATAGAGTGATGATGAAAAGACATTGAACTAGACAAGAATTATTAAATTGTATATAAAAATGTGTATATCAAAATGTTGTATAATAGCCAGAAAACATGCAGACATTAGGAGGAGAGGAGACACAACCACACACACACACACGCCCACACACAGACGCACACACACGCACACACACACAAACACAAACTTAAATATTTTACACCACACACGTCATCATCGTACATCAGTGACTATAGAATGATGGTGGTAGGCAGAGAACTACTGTAAAACTGAAAAAAATGGTATTTGAGAAATCAGCAATAATAACATCAGATGAAAGATGATCTGAGTACGTACATACACACCCACGCACGCATGCACACACACACAGACACACACGCACACACTGATACACTTATTGTGTTTGACGTGAATCCGTGACTAGATGGATGGATGGATGGATGGATGAATGCAGGATACATTTGAACTTTTATTTCAATGTCTTCCTATTGGCCTAGACAACAGCTCTCTCCACCATCTCCTCACCTGTCATAACCACAGACATCCACCCCAACAACAACAACAACAACAACAAATAACTTGCATTTCTGAAGTAATACTTTGTAAAAAAAAACCAAAAAAAGTTTAGATATATACAGAAAAGAAAATATTTCCACCCGCCATCATTTTTATTGTTTTCTTGGGTGTATTTAGACAGCAGAAAACACACCACACACGGAGTGAGACAGCGTGAGAGGGGGGGGGAGAGGAGAACAATAAATATGTGTGTTTATGACATCAGCTGATGGTGAGTAGACACCAACACAGATACAAACACACACACAAACACAAACACCCACCCATTACACAAAGATTGAGTAGCTAAATCACACTATATGACTAACGTGTCTCAGCATATAGTGTGTATCTCATATAGAATTTTAAAAAACATACAGTTTCTTTCGTCTTGACAAGGCTAGCCGTATTTCTATACCTATATCAAGAGAACAATAGACACCGTTTGTGTGGAACAATAGAAATTTGTTAGATTGTGTAAATAAACACCCAACAATAATAACTGTATTGATATTAGTAGTATTGCTATTGTTGTTATTGTTATTGTTATTATTTTTTGTTTTAACTATCGTAAAATATTATCACAAAAAAATGAAGTGTCACAATGAAGAATTTGATTGTCTTTGATTGTTTTTTTTCACTACTATATTGACTGTTTTTATTGATCCGTGTTTTCTTCTTTCGATTGGAGTTGATGAATAGTGCACACACACGCACACACACACACACAATAAGTTTATACAGTATGTATAGTATTCAGTGTAGAGTTTATTTGCAGAATATTTAGCCTTCACCCGGGAGTTTTAAGTGAAACAGGCATCTCTAGGTCATCATATGACGCTGTCAAGGAACTTAGCCCTAAGTTCCTATTGTAACGTAGGCGATTTGAACCGATAATGACTAAGTATTTCGTTTCAACTTTAAATCAAAAACACCAGTATTCCTTGAACGAATTTTTATTGTTTGGCAATTAAAGCGAGACAAATCTATATTCACACCTCCTAACTCCCATCTCAAGTTGAAAATCATTACTTCAATTTTGTTTCCATGCTCATTTTTACACACTTGATATCCGATCTAATCCTGCGCAATTTTGTTTCTAAGCCTCTCGTAAAAAAACCATATCTAGTTGGAAATAATTATCACCTTTTATTCGCCGTCATAATTATGTAGAATCAAACAACAATTGTCTCCATGTAAAATTATGTATTTAAATGCGATTGTACAGCTTTTGAAAATGAAATCGCCGAAAAGATATCTTTGCTGAACTTCTTATTCTTCCCAAAATACAGAGTCTACAAACAGATGTTTAGTACAAATGAAGTTATAAAGTACTTTTATTCGTGTTCCTTTCCACCGTCATCCAACTTGCACGCGATCGAACCATTCGCGCCTTCGAGTTGCCCACCAATGGCTGCCAGTTCCAATAAACAAACGTTCAATGATCACGTCCATTGACAGACGCAGTGTTGTTCTATCTAAAGAATAAAGTCATCCTTTTAGGTATTTTTCTTTTGGTCCACCAGAAATGAACAATGTTAGGTTGCCAGACTATGTCTAACGTCGTACAACCTCGAAGACTTGCGGTCAGGCGAAAACCAACAAACTGGCTGAAGAGGCAGCGAAGACAGGACTACAGGTGGTGAACACAGATAAGACGGAGGTGATGAAGATAACCAACGAACGGCAACAAAAACCAGCACCAATCACCATCAACGAAGATGTTAAAGTCAGAATAGGAAAGGCAAGATACGCCTTCATCAATCTGAAACAAGTTTGGAAATCTTCTACACTCAGCATAAGGAACAAAGTTCGCATTTTCAACACCAATTTGAAATCGGTATTTCTATACGGGTCAAAAACTTGGCCAGCGTGTAACGAAAAGGATTTCTAACAGATTGCAGACTTTCATCAACAGCTGCCTCATTCTCTGGCTCCATACTGAAGATCAAATTGCCAGAAAGAAATAGTAACAAGAAACTCTAGCAACAAACCAACCAGGAACCGATCGACCAACAAATATTTAGGAGAAAATGGAGATGGGTAGGGAATATGTTGAGGAGACCGCCGAATGACATCGCATGCCATCTGGACCAGTGCTCGAGTGGAATCCCAGTGGGAAGCGAAGAGTGGGTCGTCAGTGAGAGGGTGATATCGAGGAGATCGTGTGAGGAAGTGATGAGAGATTATGGTCAGTCGTGGACCCAGATGAGGAGGATGGCAGAAAAGAGAACAAAGTGGAGATGTGTTGTTGAAGCCCTATGTTCCACTCGGAACACAAGGGAATAATAATAATATTAAAATAATAAGATTTCAAGCCGATTAAAAATGTACACCCAGGGACATAATTGAATGATTATGACGACAAAAATTAAGATAAAGCAATAAGAAGACGTAATTTGCCTGAATCGTGTATTATGTACTTGTGCACACAACACATTTCGAACAATCTGATCGCACACGGATTTGACATAGGAGTACATATATCAGAAATCAATAAAGAGTTAAGAGGTGAGAAAATAGACAAGTCTGATCAAGTTAAAAGGAAATACTGAAGGCCAAAATAACAATGAAGATCACTGAACCAAAGAAAGGAGGTAACGGTACATTTACCCTGGCTGGTATCAAAACGAAGTTAGTTCAGTGTGATGACGAATTGTTGCTTTGATCGTATAAAGGTGGTTTAAGCTTCCTAACTGCCAGCTAGGGTTTCCATAAACTTTAGGATACACCTCAAACACGTCCTATAGATAGGTTTAAAAGACGTGCATATAATATGTTTCGCAATAGAGCAGCTAGGTTGTTGTATGTTTTCACCATTAATGGGTTCTGGGGACTCTATTTACTTCTGAAGGCACTTAGGAATATGCTGTGAAGCCAGTCCTCACTTGCAGAGATCGATGAGTTCTCCCTTTCTTTGTACATGTGTGTGTCCACACGTACAATCAAAACTGGTAAAGATGCAGTGTCTCGGATGGAAATTCAGGCAACTCATGGGTTGAAGCAGGCCCCCAATGAGTGATTATGTCAGATTAATATTACAACAGACAATAACAATCAGTTTTCTTGTGTCTGTGTGTTAAAATTTGACAGTGAGTGGAAATACTAAGGTGTGATAGTACGGGTGAACAAATAAACTAACGAAATTTTCACCCTTAATCGTTCCTCAGCTTCCAACTTCCTATCTGTGATCCTCACCGGTAAGCAGTAGCAAATAAGGTATTTCTCAATGATCTTGTCAAACGATTTTTAAGTATTTCACTCTCAGTGTTACCCCTAAATTCTAAGTTTAATTTCAACATTTTCTAGCTACCTTGTCTCTCTCTCCTTATTTCTTCCACGTAATTTGCTACTGGCCTCGACGAAGCGTAGTGGATCCCCTTTCTTAATGTTAAGGAGGTGTTACCTCGATTGTGTAATTCTATGTGTATTGATATGTTCACCTGCTATTACGGAGCTAGGTACATAGAACGTTCGTCGAGGAACACATCCCGCTGCCACGTTCGAGAGCACCTCCCAGTTTGGCTAAGCAAAGGAGAAAGTAGAGGTGTTAATTCATCGATATTGCAACATATTGTAGTTACTGACTGACCATGCAGCATCCGACAGATTATTTAATATAGTCTACAAAGTTAGTCCGACAAAGTTTGCCGAAAGGGGCAAGACTGCATTCGCTTTGTATAACAGAAACTTTGGCAGTAAATAATATAAAAACAGAAGGTTATGTACAAAAACAATTTGTACGACCTCTTTCGTTCTCATGGTCTTGATTTTACCAAATAATTCACATAAAATCTTTGTTATCTTTCTTTATTCCCTGTTCCACTTTTGTTTTATTTCACTTCACTTTATGTTATCGCATAGTTCTAACATTTTTTGTCTAGTCTACTATTTTGACAACATTAAACTCATCCTATGTCGTTTTCATCATATTATATTCTCACGTATTCAAATTTTTCGAATTTACTTTATTTTCCGCGACCATCTATTTCACACATGTCGTCTATTGAACTCTAGGTTGACCTCCATATTCATTTATTTAGTTATTCATTCATTCATATATCGCCGAAGGTCTGGACTTCACCGATGATATATGTCTGATTTCCCACAAACTGGAAGATATGCAAGCGAAAAGCAACAAGTTGGCAGAAGAAGCATCAAAGATAGGACTTCTTTCAGGTGAACATAGAGAAAACAGAGGTGATGAAGATTCCTGGGCAAAAACAACAACAACAGACAACAATCAACATAAATGGAAGGAACCTGAAAGAAACAACCTCCTTTACGTACCTGGGAAGCATCGTTTCAACTACAGGCGAAACTGACGAGGATATCAAAGCAAGAATCGGAAAAGCAAGACAAGCTTTCACTACTCACGTCAAGTCTGTGTGGAGGTCAACAACACTCAGCATGAAAATGAATATAATATCCGGATTTTCAACTCCAATGTGAAGTCAGTGCTACTATACGGAT